AAATTCTTTTCTCTTTTCTAAATCCTTTTTGTAAAAATGATTTTCTTTGAAAATTTTCATACCAACTCCTTAGTTTGAGTTCAGACACACCCGAGAGTGTGCCTGGATCCCTCAAACCAAGGCTCTGGTACCAACTTGAAACATCCCAAAAATACGGTCCAAAAATTTCATTTTTGAAATCATTAATAAAACCATAGATATCCAAAACACATGTCATAACATCTCAAACATCATATCTATGTATATCAAAATATTAGAGTATATAAACATCCCATGCTGAAACAAATGGTGTGTGCACTACAATCATCCCGAGCTCTTCCCCTTGCTACCGGAAGTACCTGAAACCAAAACTGAAAACTGTAAGCACGAAGCTTAGTGAGTCTCCCCAAACTACCACATACCATACACATAACATGCAACTAAGAGATATGGTCCCCGCCCACTCTCATGGAGATTCGGGCCCCACCCACACTCCTCTATCTAGGAGATTCGGGCCCCACCCACACTCCGTTGTCTAGGAGATTCGGGCCCCGACCACACTCCGCTGTCTAGGAGATTCGGGCCCCGCCCACACTCCGCTAGCTAACATGCATACAAGTATCACACAGACAACAAGTATATCTACTCCTATCAAAGCAGTCACATAACAATACTCAAATAATACTACGAGATTCGGCCCCCGCCCACACTCAGCTACTATCATATCACTTATACGGGCCGACCTTGGTGTCGTAGACCCATTCCTACTGAAGGAAACTCACCTCGCAAGGCTGACTGCTAAAAACTCGAGTGAGGAATCTCTGACTGCTGCTCCAACGACTCCCCGGCTATCAATTTCATAATAACACTTAATCAGAATCTGATAATCCTTCTTAGGGTAAAATGATCATTTTACCCCTGGTCAAAGTCAACGCGTGGGTCAAAGTCAACCTTCTGGTTGACCCAACTCGTTGAGTTGCTCCATCAACTCGTCGAGTCCTAGATCCTGAAATCGTGATCTAACTCGTCGAGTCTCCCCCTGACTCGTCGAGTTTCCAGGCTACTCACATTTGCGATCTACCGATTTAACTCGCCGAGTCCCTTCACCAACTCGTCGATTTCTATCTAAAGCTAAAACGGGACAAACCAAAATCAACTTGTCGAGTCCCTCTATGGACTTGCCGAGTTCCCCTGTATGATTAAGCCATCTCAATGGATTAAGCTCCTACCCTTCAGATCCATGCTTCAAACTTCATTTACCCACTGGGAATACACTTTTAAGGGTAAAGTTTCCAACTTTACCCGCCCTTAGTCCTTCTTAATGGGTTTAGCTCAAACCCTAACTTCTCTAAAACATAGATCTTGGTCCACAAGCCATAATACCCTAAACCAAGGCATAATATACTAGATCTAGGCTTTGAACATCAGTTGGACACGTAAAGTTCCAAGCTTTCCTTTCATGCATGGTCTTTTAGGGCTAAAAAGGCCATATAAATGCTTATAAGCTTACATGGGGCTTTCATGTTCATAAAGTTTGCACCTTTATGCCATGGAACCCTTTCTAGATCCTAGATCTAAGATATAAGTCACTTGGGACGTCCAAATCCCAAAGGCCAAGGTTCTTGAACCAAAACCCTCATAAAGTGGAAGTAAATAGATCTAAGAAAGGAATGATCAAGTTAGAGACTTGATTACTAGAAAATGTAGCAAATGGAGTGTAGCTTCTGGATCTACTCCTTCCCTCTGGAGCCTTCTATCTTCTTCTTCTTCCACAAGCTTCAAAAATGCACAAAGATCACTCAAAATGGCTCACACACTCAAGGAAAGCTCTCGGGTTTCGTGGATTAGGGTTTGGGACAAAGAGGTTGTAAATGAGGCCAAGGGGTGCGGATTAAGATGCTTAAATAGGGTGCAAAACCCCGAAATTAGGGTTTCACTCTGTCAGGCCTACTCGCCGAGTCCAGAGCTCTTGACTCGTCGAGTAGGTGGATGAATCCCACGTCCAAGACTAACTTCTACTCGACGAGTCTGGGGCTTCCAAATCGTCGAGTAGCCTTTCAAACAAGAATAATTTGTAAATAAATGCGTACCAGAGTCCGGGTGTTACAAGGTCTGTATCAACCCCGAGTCCATCATGACTCTATATAACATCATGTAGTTGTGTCGGTTCTGTATCAACCCCTTATACATAAACATACAGTCATATCAACAATAGTCATAAGACAATCAAGCACATACATACATATCAGCAAGTGTCACAAAGACAACTATCATTCTACAAACATAATCCAATGGGTCAGCATTGGTGCCTTCGACCCACGAGTATAGTGAAGAGACTCACCTAAATCACAAATCCGACTAAAACCCATCTCAATGCCTCGCAACCGCTGCTACAACACTCCTATCACATCATACAAGGTCTAACCTTAGTCTACACACTAAAACCAATCATCTTGACCAAAATTCAACCATGTTCAAAAGTCAACGGTCAACGTTGACTTCAGTCAACTGCCACGTCGTGGTCCTCCTTGGTCATGTCGTGGCCCTCCTTCGATTGAACAGATGGTAAATTCCCAGTCTCCACGTCGTGGCGACTTATGGCCACGCCATGGGTGTTGAGATTCCAACAACTTAATGGACTAAGCTGTTTTCTTCGATTCCAAGATCTCTAAAGCTCATATTTGGTCCCTTCAATGGTCTAAATGGATAAAGTTTCCAACTTTATCCATTAAGACACCCAAGGAGATCAAAATCTCCAACCCTAAGCCCAAATAAAGCCAAATACCACCATGTCTTAACCATTAAGCCCTTAATCTGAAAAGTCCTTAACCCAACAACTCTAGAAGGGTTTTCTAATACCAAATCCATCATAAAGATGAAAGCTTTGTAGACATGTATGTCTAATACATGTCTAGAATCCATTTTAGGTCAAAATGAAATATAAAGACCAAAACTCAAGCACATGACAAGAACTTCAACCAAAGACTAGATCTACAACATATGATGTTGTTGGGACTTAGGAGATTCATAAAGTTTCCAACTTTATGAGTTCCTTCCTTCCAAACTTGCTCAAACATGAAGAACATAGGGCAATATCCTAGAACTAGCCACTTCAAGCCATAAAGATTGATCCTTTGACACTTACAAAGGTCCAAAAGCTATGCCAGTTCCACCAATGGAGCACCTTCTTCTCCTTCTTCTCTTCTTCGTTAAGCCAACAATGCTCCAAAAAGGCCACAAATCACCAAGGAAATGAGAGATAGGGTTGCTCTGAGGTAAAGGGTGTCCGACGCTGGAAATGAATCCTAGAAATGGCTTAGAGGGGTTTAAATACGAAGCAAACCCTAAAAGAATCATGGGCTTGGGCCAGAACAGCTGCCACGACATGGCCTTCCTTGGCCACGTTGTGGCCGTCCAATAAAGCATGCGATCACTTAAATTATTTCTACGTCGTGGCATAGAGTTTCCTCCAAAACTCCATCTTTGGTCCTTAATAAAAGTAAGTTTAACCAATCTGGAACATGGGTGTTACATCTAGCAACCTAACATAAGAATGTTTAGATCGTGCACACTTACAAAGGTCCAAAGTTGCTCAAAATGAAGCTCCAAACTAGCCAATGCGTTCACAACTCTTCCAATGACTCCTTCTTCCTTCAAAAGCAAGTGCAAGCACCAAAATGAGCCCAAAAATGGAGGAGAAGGATTAGGGTTTCCTTTTTCTGGTTTGGAGGTGATGGAGGCTAAGGGTGAAAGAAACCCTAGCCCCTCACATTCTTTAAATAGGGTCCAAAGTCCGAAAATTAGGGTTTTCCATTTGATCAGGTGTCACATCGTGACCCATATAGTGTCACGTCAACCCTTATAGTGTCACGTTGTGACACTTCAATGACGCAACCCGCATATCACGGCCATGGCACGTCGTGAAGGTGCTTCCTTCACATCGTAACCCCCGTCAAATCCATATTTTACTTAATTTATTCGTACATCTAGGATTCGGATGTTACATGACGGTTCCTGAGATTTTGGAACCACAACTCTTATATTGGTTCCTAAGATTTTGAAAGAACCGACGGTTCCAATTTCAAGTACTTGTATTTATCTCTTAAAAAAATTTATTATAGACAATGATATTACATGAACTAATAGAGGAAAGAATTTAGTAATTTTCTAAATGAATACTTGTTGATGATTGTAAATTAGTAATATGTGTATACAACATAAACAATGTGTTTTATTAGAGGCAATGATATTGCATGGACTCATATCACCGGAGATCGGCGGGAAGTTAACCGGTGTATTTTGCAAAAATAATATATATATATATATATATATATATTATATATATATATATATATATATATATATATATAGTCGATTTAGGATATACAATTCGAATAGATAAATTTAATTTAGTATTATGTAATTTAATTTTTGTTATCTTCAAGTAGTAGCATTGGAGTCGCTGAATTTCATCAACATATATTCCATGGTGATTATGATAATTGATGAACAATTTAGAAAATACTCAATTTTTAAATTACTTCTAATTTCAGTTATGTTCCGGTTAGAATTAAATCATCGACTCACAATACCTGAAAGCTCGCTAGGTTGGACTTCGAAAAAGAGATCACAACGCCTGTTAGCCCGCTGGGTTAGAAGTCTTTGGTTAGTGTAGTGAATGTAATTTATCCGACGTCAAGGGCTTGGTGGTTATTTGCTTTGTAGTTTAAGTAAGGAAAAAAAAAAGCTCTTGTGTAATATAAAACTCTGAAATACTTTATTTTTTATTGGTAGTTTATATGTTTAAAAAACCTTAAGTACATTACACCACTGGCTTTTCTTGGATAGCACAATGCAGGTCTGTCTTACCCAATAGGAAGCGAACAGGGTACAAACCTTTATAGTACTTTGTTTTGTGGGGGTGAAACATAAACATTAAAAAGGTGAAACTGGTGGTTTCTTCAACGGGAAGTTAGGTATTACTATTTAATTAGTATTTTATTGAGTATTTTCTATTGTTACATTTTGTATACACAACTTCCCACACCCACTCAACAAACACACAGTATAAGGATAGACGTAAACTCCAGAACTCGCACACTTTGGGGTTCCATGAGATGAGCATTTGAGGGTTAAATTTGCAACCATATAATCAGCTTCACCATGGCATTAAAATGCATGTTGTGTTTGGATGGGATCTTCCAAACATAATTTATTGACTTAAATTTCCCCGTTTAAAGATCTGTTTTTTTGCAGGAAGCAAGGGTAGTGACTTTTAGGCATCAAAAAGAGAGAGAGAGTGAGATGTTGAGGCGAATTCATCTTGTTAGTTGCAAGGTCGTTCAGACCTTCAACGTCCCTTCTTCCTCGATCTGCTTTTCTTCTGATGTTGCAATCTGTGTGCATATGATATATGTAAGTCAAAGATCCGGCTTAATTACTTTCCAATAAATTTGAAACTTTTTAAAGATAATTTTGTTACGAGTAAAAAAATGTTACCAGCTTCTCCAGTTGTTCCTTATCTTCACCCAACTTCTTTTCCTGCTCAAAATCATAAATTTAAAGATAATTCATGTTGCGTTTATTCGTACAGTTATCATGACAGGAAAAATGGTCATAGTCTGGATGTGTGCACAAATAACAGAAGGGAACGGAATCTTAAGGTACGACCTTGCAATTAACAGGGTGAATTAGCCACTGACATACAAACATATAAATACATTAATGAAGCAAAGCAACTAGGTAGGCGGAGGTGGATCCAGTAACATCACCAAATGTGGTAATTTTCTTTCTTTTTCAAATTATGAACATCAATGTGCTTAGACTAACCAAACATCATGAATCACAACTCTAATTTCTTGATAAGAAACAAATCAAAATAACCAACAACAAAACCAGAATTAAGTTGTCAAAGTCAAAATGTTGCATTTTTATTGTGGCCTTCAAATTTCGATTATATATGATGTTATGTAACGGAATGGACCTCAAACTCAAGATTTTGTGTAGTGGCGTGGCATACCTGTTCTTGGAGGGTTGATATGTACTCCACCATCAATTGTGTCTGCATCCATTAACCAGAATGTCTGTTAATTTATATATGGACTCTTCAAAAACAACCTTATATATATATATATATATATATATATATATATATATATATATATATATATATATATAGAGAGAGAGAGAGAGAGAGAGAGAGCAGCAACAATCTGGAAAGTGATACGAAGACGGAAAGTAGTCAAACAAACACATCACCTTTACCTTTCTTGACCTTGTTTGCACAAGAGCAGCATCAAGATCTTCTTCTAGTTGTGTAATCTCAATCAGAGAGAGCTCATTATTATTATTTTTCTCTTCAACAAGCCTGTGCAAAAGAGAATTGGACCAATTTTCATATGCCATATCATGCATTATCATCTCTCTTGGACGGATTCCATTATCTTTCTATTCTGAGTGCATACATTATGTAATTAATATGTTGGTGGCTTTACTTTACTTACCTGTCCACCATCTGTAGAAGCTCTTTACATGTTTGAAAACGTTTGCACTGCAACAAAAACTCCAGTTGTGACCACGAATTCAAATATTTTATAAAGATTAACGCATTTGACTTCCTGTTATGGGAATGCTGAAATCCATTTATTCTTTTCTTAAATAAATCATATATATTTGTGTGATTTTATTTTTTACACTTTTATTTATAACAACTATCCACATATATATAGTGCAAAACAATTTGGGAGGGCAATAATTATGCCAAATATGATTCATGACACTCTATTTGACAGATAAGATGACTCCACATGAAATCAAACTAGGAAGTGACCTTTTTGACCTACTAGGATATGATCATCTTAACTTTTATAAACTAATGGGTTTCCTTAACCCCACCGTATATTTTTAATCTGTTTTGATGCTTTAAAACAAATAGCAATGTATATTCATTTATTTGTTTGTTATAGCATCCTACTTCTATTTCTTTCTATTACAATATTATACTTTGTAATCTTTTTCTTATTAAGGCATTGTACTTTGTAAAACAATCTTCTCTACTAAGAGGCCTAAAGCAAGAGATTTGTTCGATTGGGATTGGGTCGTCTCTCAGTTTTTTTATTGGATTTAGGCTAGAAATTAAAGAAAAAAAAAATGTAACATTCGTTAGTTGGACTGACTGGGTGAAAAATCCACTCTCTATTGTAAACTTGTTGTAGTTTTGGGTTTTGGAATGGATTTCGTTGCTGTTCAAAAAAAACAACTTTGTAAAATCTACCCAATTAGAACAAGTATAATTGCTTTGTAATATTGTATTTACAATTTGGCTGATTTTTCAAAGTCACAATGTTGTAACAGAAAGAAATGAAAATAGGATGCTCTAATAAACAAATCAATGAAAGTACATTGCTATTTCCTGTACTTAACCACTTCTTTCTACTGCTGTTTAAGCTTCTCTCTAGTTATTTGTTTATGCATCCGGCTCTTAGTTAGTCCAAATACTACTTTTTATGTTTATCTCAATTTTTTTTATCCAACATCACTTCTAGACAGAAGGGTAAAATGTCCAAAAAAAGAAAGTCACTTTTTTTTCTTTCATACTACAGACCCCCAGATAGACATCAGTTTTTAATCCATTAAACACTTGTACTCGCATGCCTTTTAGAGTTGTTTGCCCTTTCTAGCTTTTGATCAGCATCTCAGTTTCAATACAAACTCTTCTTTATAGTAGACGTCTTCTTTAACGTAAAAGGGCAATGAAATAACATAAGAAGATGGTAATGATATTGTTTTTGGCAGATTGATATTTTAAGTTGGAAAGTTATTAGTTTATATAGAATATATTACTGTGAATCAGGGCTCTTGTTGTGAATTATGAATTTTATGGATTATTAACTCAGCAGCACAACATATGTCATGACCGACATAGTTAACACAACAATGATCAAAACTAGCTAGCTCTTTAGAAAGTAAAATTTATTAATGCTTACTAAATCTTCACCAGCTCCTTGGAAGGTTCTCTCCTCTTCCTTTACCTCCTCTTCAAGGCAGCTTTTCTGATATCTGGAAAGAATATGTTCCATCCTAAGAGAGAGAGAGAGAGAGAGAGAGAGAGAGAGAGAGAGAGAGAGAGAGACATAGGTAGTTGAACCACAATTAAACAATTAGTAACAATATGAGGGGCTTAATGCAACATACATTGATTGGTATCCAACATTTACAGAAATCTTGAAATAATCAAACTCATTGCAGAAAAAGAAAAAAAAATGTTGATTTCCAACAAATATTCAAACTGTTGAGCTGTAGAGTTCAATTTTTCACCATAATACTAAGGGTTCGAGAACATGATGAGTTAAAATAAATCAATCTGGATGATCTAGATTCCTATTCCATGGACAAACTTTAAGTGGTGATTATGGAAGAGGGCATTGTTATTGGTAAATAGACTTCCACAAAACTCAACATAATGAAATGAAGTTCTAATATATACCTATAAAATCTTATTTAAGAAATCATTCAATTAGTAATTTTGTATTGATTGCATAGCCTCTCCTAGAGATTATGCAACTCATGGAGGAGGAGCAACTCATTTTTCGCTCATGGACTAAATCATTACAAAACTAGAGATCAAGTTTCCATGTTAATTTGTAATAAGAATCATACATAAATAAGGTTGATTGGGAGCTCAACATTTGAGGATTTCAGATGCGAGTCCTTGATTTAGAGAGCATATATAAGAGAGCTTGGATTTTAGTTTTTATAGATCCAAGTTTCAATATCACTAGGAAACCTTTTACTTTTAGTGGAACATTTAATTGTGGTAGTAGCTTTTGGTGTATAGTTTAATTTGGAAATGTATATAAATTAATAAACGCATGACTTGGATTCTTTGAAGCATGAATTTAATAATTAGCTTAAGCCAATTTCTCTACTTTTTAATAAGTTCAACTTAGTTTAATTACTTTGAAGTTGAACCACCAAATATCTTGATAATTTGTAAAAGAGGATAAGTTAACTAATTTGATTACTATTTCTATGTAAGCTTATAAATATTTAGTACAATTTGACCAATCAAAATTGATCTTAAAATGGAGTCTTTCTTCCATCAAAAATTGGCATAGTTAGAAAAAGCTCACATCATTCACCATCACCATCACCATGACAGGAGTGGCTAAAACCTACATTTTTTATTCAAGGTTTCAAACTATTTTTAGGGGTTTACTGTGAGGTTTGGGCAACCTGATTTGTGTATGTATTTCTAGTTGAAGTACCCTTGCTTGTGGGTCTTATTTTCATAAATACCCATGGATGTTGATGGAAATTGATTTTTATTTTAATGTGTGTTTATCTATTGTTATCCTTCAAAATCTTGATCCATGATTGTCTTGAATGATGAGAAAAGTAGCTATCTGATTTGTGTATGTATTTTGGAAGAATGTGTTGTCAACTAACTATCATATTCTATCTTTAAAAAGCATTCTAATCGTTACCTCGCAAACAGATTCATAATAAGACTTGATTAGATACCGAGTGTCGGCATATATTTATGTTGGGACTTTCCTTTAGCTTTTTTAGTGATAAGCAAGTTTTTCTTATTTAGGTTTATTCTAATTAGTTCCTATTTATAGTTTCTTTTTCCTGTCACTGTAAATATACTTTTTATTAGGGATACAACCGAACATTCTTCGACTCTCAATCTTCATGGTATTAGAGTACAAACAAACAAGGCTTATCATATCTAGCATTTAGCTCTCAATCTTCACTGAGTTTGATCAATCAATATTGGAAGACACAAGGTTTATCATAGCTATCATTTTACACCATGCTTAAATATTTGAATAAAATTATGTGTTTTAACTGATTATCAAGTAAATGATGTTTCAACACCTCAAATCAAATTTCCTTCACCATCAAACTTACTTACCCAATTCTATTCTTCTCATCAAAATTTCATAACAATGTTTTAACTTTGAATTTGATGCAAGAAGTTTAAACAAAAAAACCAAAAACCCCTCCCCCATTTTACTTGTGGTTTATAAATTGTTAAACTAAGAACTAACCTAAAACATTTCCTCATCGCTCGACTCCATGCCACTAGTACTCCATAACAATGTAATATAACAATATTACTTTTTTGTAAAGTCTCGACGAATCCCCATCACATATGAAAAAAATGTGGTGCAAGGATTTTTCAAAGAGATTTGTTGTGCTTGAAAGAAGAATCCATCTCAAATTTCTAATTCTTAGCGTTAGATTGAGTACAAGGTTTTGTATTATGACATGACCTCACAATATGAGAAACTTGTTATGAGGAATGTGAATCTCTTTGAATGAGGGTTGTTTGTAATCATAGTGTTTCGCTTTATCTATAGAAATGTAGAACACTTTTCCTACAGCTATGACACAAAGTGCACTTCTTTTGCGAATAAAAGAGATGATCGACCAAAAAATAAAGTTGGTCAATTTTCAAGATACCATTTGCCTCTTCCTAAGACCCTAGAAAATCATTAATAAAGTGGACAAAATGACCCCCTAGATTATTTACCCCACCTATAGGAAAGAACCAATTAGTTCATCATTAAACCATTAATATAAAGTTGAAGCCCATACATTTGTCTAACATTAGCCCCATCCCAAAAAGACACCTTGTTCTTCAAGGTTAATCCATGAACCTTTGTCACACTCACTAACAATCGACTCTAGGATCCCAATTTCTCCCCCATTAGCCTCTTAAACCCAATCAAATTTGCCAACATTAACCTCTAATGAGCAAACTTCTTAGGGTTAAGCAATTCAACAACTTGATATACGATTTCACACACACGCAGAGAAATTATGTAAATGAAAAAAGTGGTTTACATGATCAAAATGATTTGTTATGTCCACACACAAACACGAGAGAGAGAGCTTTTATTGATTGTCGAATTGCTTACATATGTTAGGTTACACGAGGAATATACAAGAGCATAAGATCTAAAATCTGTTAAATTTGACCCTTGACGCATTTTGATATTGAATATGATATAGGAACTAGCTTAGTCTACCTAGCAGCTATAATGTTAAAGAGTGAACCAGACTCCACAACTCACTAAAACTAAACCATCATTTAACCCAATTGCACCTTGGAACAAATTTGTCTTTACACCCATTAAATATTGAAATGTTAAGCTCGCCATTAAACCCACTATCAAACATAACAAACACCTTTGTTTTAGTGCAATCGTTTCACCCAACACCATCGTCATTCATAACTACCACTCATATCCGATAACACATCCTACTCTCCTCATTGAAGCAAACTGTGTGTCCATTACAACGAACGATACCAACATCATGGATTTCTGGTCCAAGTTTTTCTTCCCACTACTCTACTTGCTTTGATGTCATTAATCCGACAACATATGAGATGCTATTATACCAATTTCAAATGAACTTATATTTCGTTATGAATAATGGTGATTAAACAAAACATAAATAGAAGTTCACCAACTTTCGAGAGGTGGATCATCTCTCACAAACCCTAATTAATAATATGTTCTCAAGGTTCTTTTTTTTTTTTGAAAAGAAATGGGGGAAAAAAGAAAAAAGGTTATTTTATTCATGTTCTCGAGTTGGAGAAAAGAAAACTAATGATTTTACGATTGTATGCTTATTGTGCAAATATATGCTAAATGGTAAGAAGAATTAACTAAGAGAAGATATTCTTGTCATTATGAAATTTTACAAAAATCTTGCCCACCCTTTCCCTAAAAAAACCGGGGGGAAGTTTAATATATATATATATATATATATATATATATATATATATATATATATATATATATATATATATATCCCTTTCCCTTTCTTCACTTTGTGTCTTCCCTTTCTCTCCATAGAGTTTGAGAACACGGTGTAAATAATTAATAATAGATTTAACAAATAGTTTTTATGCCTCAATACTAATTTGGTACCAACACTTTTCCTTATTATCAAACAATCCGGGTTAACATCGATGCACAAGGCTAGCACTAAATGGTTTGTTTGAATTCAGCCTAGTACACTTGTTACAATGTATAACATTGTATCAATTTCTCTAACAAGATTTATCTTGTTGAAACCTACGACTACAATGGGTAGTAATGTTGATAACTTGATATTCTTTTCCACCATCATATGTACACCACAAAGTTTTAGAGATAGGGAGAGAACAACCATATATGTAACTTACAACAAATATGACACATGTCCCTACATCATGGACACATCTCAATGTCATCTTAACATGGGGGATTAATCTATTTCCAATGTGAAGAGACCATCTAATCAAAGTGAACAAACTTAATTTGATCCATATATATATATATATATATATATATATATATATATATATATATATATATATATATAATTCTGTTAAATGCTTCTCAGTTTTCTAATAATGCATGGCTCAAAACCAACAAACCAAAACAGCAAGTACTACAATATATATTCAAGAATAGGTGTCATTAATTACAATTATGCAAGAATGAATGTAAGTGTTTACCTCCAAAAAAAATAATGAAAATAAGTACAAAACTATATAGGATGACTTAAGAAAATAAAAGGCATGTCAAAATCAGTATGGGAAAATCAAATCAACGTGTAGCCTTCCACCAACTACATAATCCTCATCAGTCATCACCACTAACGACTTTGAAACCCTATACGCCACCGACAGACAATAGCTGATTACAACTCCAATGAATGAAGCCTACTACAAGGTTACATCCTATCTATTTCTAGAATATAAATATATATCAAGCAGACTCTTGGTGTATTTTAAGCACGTTACACATAAAATCACTCGCTAAAGCCCTAGAAATCTCAGCATAATATATATACAGCGAGAGAGATAGGAACAAATTTTTTAAACAGAAAATCGGAAACTGATATTGAATAACATATATATAGAGGACGATGAATTGAAGGATAACCTGTTAGTACTGCCGGTGCAGGATTCATAGAGCTTGCCGCGGGCGGAGAATACGATGACGGCGACATCGACGTCGCAGAGCACGGAAAGATGCCGTGCTTTCTTAATCAATCCCGCTCTCCGCTTCGAAAACGTCACTAACCGGCCACTCTTATCTTCGATCCGCTTCATTTCGAGCTTCTTCCGCCCCATTCTATGTGTTTTCCTTTTCCGACGAATCTTCTAGACCTAAGTAGCTTTTCAACTTCCGAATGGCCTCTCTCTCTCTCTCTCTCTCTCTCTCACTTATATGTGCAACCGATCGCATGTGTTTAACTTGGAACCAGGATCTGTAAAATTGTTGAAGATGACCGTACTTTTATATTTTATCAAAACAGCTTCCGGTTTTAATCACTGCACACCAAATAGTAACAAGATTTGTACTATATTGCTTCATATTGAAAACCAAAAATAACTAGGTGTTAATAATTATTTTATATCGGTTATAAAAATTTTAGAAAAAAAAAAATAATAAGATCACTTGTTATCCCTTTCCACCTTAATTATGTTCATTACAATGTTCATATTTATTTTTCTATTAAAAAATCAAATTCTAGAAAAAAAACAAAAAAAAGTCCTCTTTCTCAATAAAAGGTATCCCAAGACACATTTACAAGATTCATTTTGTTGAAAAAAAAAATAGAATTGGATTGTCGGTCACTTTGTTTAACTAGTGTTCATATTTATTTTATATTGGTTATAAAAAGTTTAGAAAAAAATAAGATCACTTGTTATCCCTGTCTACCTTAATTGATCACTTGTTATCCCTTTCTACCTTAATTATGTTCATTAGAGTTTTCATATTTATTTTTCTATTAAAAAATCAAATTCTAGAAAAAAAAAAGTCTTGTTTCTCAATAAAAGGTATCTCACGACACATTTACAAGATTTATTTTGTTGAAAAAAAAATAGAATTGGATTGTCCGTCGATTTGTTTAACTAGTGAAGGTGCTCGCGTTTTACGGCAAGTTTATTAATCTTATACTTTTAAAATTGCTTGTGTAATGTTCACTTACACGGAAGTCATTTTTATAATTTCGTTATTAAATCGGGAGAAATGTTGCAACCAACGCATATTATAAACTATATGGACCGAAATTATAATCATTGAAATTAAAAACTACAGGTACCAAATTTTTAGTTATTGAAATTAAAAAGTGCATAAAAAAATTATAATTAATACAAATTAAAAACTAAAGGGACTAAAACTATAGTTATCTTAAATTTAAAATTACAAGAACCAAAGCTATTTCTAACGCAAATTATAAACTATAGGGACCTCGAAATGTAACATTGAAGTAAAAAACTAGATGGACTTAAAATATAATTATTACAAATTAAAAGTTACATGGACTAAAACTAAAATTATCTAAAAGTTAATACTAAACATGCAAATATTCTATCATGACAATAGTTGTATATAAAAGAAAACTACGTGGATTACACCTTTAATTATTTTATTCTAACGACAACTATATATTATCTTTATTTTTATATAGTTCTTATAAAAAGAGATCATACAAATGAATGTGGTTCGGTTCAAAATAAGTCATTTTTCTTGAATCATATTCATTTGAAACCTCAAACTCCTAAACTCTTCAATTTGTTCTAATTAATTCAAATATTTTACTTATATAAGAACATTATTTCTTATGTTTCCTTACCATAATTGTTTTTTTTCTGTTTCAGATTTTGTTATGTAGAATACATAAAATTGAGAAAAATATTATATTGTCATATGTCTAAAAGAAAAAGTTTAATAATGAAATATGTTGGTGTAATACGATCTTTTTCAGGTGTGTCGAAGATTCAACGAATCAAGTTATTTGATTGATTAAAAGCAAATAATATCAAATATTTAAAGTCAAGGAAATGATATAATCCATTGTCTCAATGTTCTTTCTATATTTTTTAATTTTATTTTGCATAATATTTTTATGTTTCATATATTATAATTAGATACTATAAATGCATCGCTGTGTTAGATTGTAAGCGTCAAAGATCTTGGAGCAACCAACAATCAACATTGATTTGTATTTCATAATGTTAGATGATTCTTCAGGTAAAAAAAAATATTTCTCAATCAATTAAGTAACTGGTCGATTGTATTATAAGGTTATAATTATAGTAAAAATGGTTAAAGAGGTTAGGAGCATTTATATCACGAATCGATAGTTTTTATTATGGATATGTTTTATCTTTTGTGAAATGTTGAACATTTATGATTTGTTGTTACATATGTATCTCTTTTATTGAAACATTTAATATTAACTCTTGTTATTTTGTAATATAACATGAATAAATTAAATAATATTAAGATATTGACATGAATATTAAATATTATTTTAGATATTTATTAGCCCTTTAAAAACAATCTTTTTTGGATCATATACATAAAACCTTTTTATATTTTGTTTTTTTATAAAAACCATCGTGATTTGAAAATATTCTAAAAAATCACTAATGACAAATATAAACATATTAATATTTGTATACAGTTTTAACAAAAATTTGGTTTTAATTAAAGTTTGAGTTTTGACACGTTAGTAGTAATGACCGATAGTCACCCGTTCCAGGTATTAGTTAATTTCTAAATGTTAAACTTTTGTTTTGGGTGGCCACGACGTGGTGGAGCTTCACCACGGCGTGGCCGTATTTTTATGATCACGAGAATTTAATGACTCGCCACAGTGTGGCCATAGGTGTCACAGCATGTCAGCTGTTTTTGGAGAAAACCCTAATCCTTGGACTTTGGGTCATATTTAAAGGACATTATGGCTAGGGTTTCATGATCATTCAGCCTCCATCACCCTCTCAAGCTCAGAAACCCTGTTAGATGTTATGAAGAACTAGTGATTAACACTTGAATATGATGAGAAAGGATGATCCTAGCATGTTCTTGAGGAGAGAGGGTGTTCTTGCTTGATGATACTTGAGAGAAAAGGGTTGAAATCTTGTTTAAAAGTGAAGAAATGAGCTAAAAGTCGGTTGAATGCTATATGTATGCGAGGGTTCACGGTCCGAGGGGTCACGGCCGTGAACCTCGTATACGGTCCGAAGCGATTACGGCCGAGAAGTGGTTCACGGTCGAGAACGAGATTCGAGGCGATAAGGTTAGATTCCCGAGGCGATAAGATCCGAAGAGTTTGCGGCCCGAAGTCTGATCACAGTCGAAGCCTGATCACGACCTCGTTCACGGCCCAAGGGTTTGCGGCCCTCGTATGCGGTCCGAAGGGAGAAGAAAGAAGAAAAGAATGCGAAGTTTCTCGATTTTAATAACTCCCTTCTTGAACAAATAACACTTATATAATCTCAATCTAACCCATTTAATATAGAATAAGATTTAAGTTGACTTTAGTTGACCCAAGTTTGACTTTGGTTGACTAGGGTTGACTTTACAAGTAGAAAATAACGGGATGTTACATTATACCCCCGTTGGAGAGAATTTCGGCCCGAAATTAGAACTATAGCGTTACAGAAAGACTAGGGAAACAGATGTGGATACTTATGTTGCATTTGATCCTGCCGCTCCCAAGTGAATTCAGGTCCCCGTTTTGCATTCCATCGAACCTTTACAATCGGGATACGACTTTGTTTGGTTCTCTTTACTTCCCTGTCTAGGATCTCTACGGGTTCTTCCACAAAGTTGAGATTCTCGTTTACCTCGATCTCGTCGAGTGGGATCACAAGAGTCTCGTCGGACAGACACTTTTTCAAGTTAGGGACGTGGAAGGTAGGATGTATGTTGCTTAATTCTTGAGGTAGTCGGAGTTTGTAAGCTACTGGACCGATTCTAGCAAGAATCTCGAATGGTCCTATGTACCTTGGGTTCAGCTTGCCACGCTTTCCAAAGCGTATCATGCCCTTCCAGGGTGAGACCTTTAGCAAGACGCGGTCACCAACCTGGAATTCCAAAGGTTTTCTCCTTTTGTCAGCGTAGCTTTTCTGCCTATCTTTGGAAGCTTTAAGTCGCTCCCAAATTTGTATGATTTTCTCCGTAGTTTCACGAATGATTTCTGGACCAGTGAGAGTACTGTTAGGAACTTGACCTCTAGCTAGTTGCGTGTCACCCACTTCAGCCCAACACATAGGAGATCTGCACTTGCGGCCATAGAGGGCTTCGAATGGAGCAGCCTTTATGCTAGAGTGATAATTGTTATTGTAAGAGAATTTGACAAGGGGTAAATGAGTATCCCATGCTTTTCCAAAGTCTATCACGCAAGCTCGCAACATATCTTCTAGAGTTTGAATCGTCCTCTCACTCTGTCCGTCAGTTTATGGATGGTAGGATGTACTCATGTCCAGCCTAGTTCCCAAAGATTTTTGTAAAGACTGCCAGAAACGAGAGGTGAATCTACTATCTCGGTCTGAAATAATAGATATTGGCACACCATGCAGTCTAACAATCTCCTTGAGGTAAGTTCGTGTTAGCTTCTCCATCTTGTCGATTTCTTTTATTGGCAAGAAGTGTGCGGATTTGGTCAATCTATCGACGATCACCCATATAGTATCATAACCACCCAATGTCTTGGGTAACTTAGTTATGAAATCCATCGTAATCCGCTCCCACTTCCATTCAGGGATTTCAGGTTGTTGCAATAAACCTGAAGGTTTCTGGTACTCTACCTTGACTTTGGCACAAGTAAGGCACTTGCCCACAAAGGTAGCAATTTCGGCCTTCATGTTAGGCCACCAGTAAAGTTTCTTGAAGTCCAGATACATCTTGTCTGAACCTGGATGAATGGAGTGTCGGGTTTTGTGTGCTTCATTCATAACCACGTCTCTATAACCACCGAACTTTGGTGTCCAGATCCGGTTCATGAAAAAATATACTTCATCATCCCTAATTTCGAAGTTCTTATCCATTCCTCTTAGGGTTTCACCTTCCACGTTTTCAGATTTCAAGGCCTCTAGTTGAGCCTCTCTGATCTGTGTGGACAGATGTGAATGGATTGTCATGGCCAACGACTTTACTCGGCGTCCCGCGTATTCTTTTCTGCTAAGGGCGTCAGCTACTACATTGGCTTTACCAGGGTGATAATGAATCTCACATTCGTAATCGTTCAATAGCTTTACCCACCGTCGTTGTCTCATGTTCACCTCTTTTTGATCGAAGATATGCTGAAGACTTTTATGGTCCGTGAATACTGTGCATTTCGTGCCATATAAGTAATGTCTGCAGATCTTCAGAGCAAATACCACTGCCCCAGTTCAAGGTCATGCGTTGTATAGTTGACCTCATGTGTCTTTAGCTGTCTCG